GGGTTTGAACCGCCAGCCGTCTGGTTAGCAAGCAAGTGTCTTAGCCACTATGCTACCAGAGCCTCTGGCTCTAGGAGGACTCATTTTAAGCCTGGCAGAGTGGCAAAACTAACCAATCCCAATATTAGAGTTTTACACACCTGAGAGAGAGAGAACTTTCCCAGAAGATTACTTCCTGCTGTTCCAACAAAAATAACCCAGGTAGATGACTTTAACAATTGGGAGTTTAAAAGCAGTTACTCAGTTGCTCACGGCAAATTCCACCAGGAGTTAACTGCCAGTCTTATATTATGTTATTGTTATGTGCCGTTGAGTCAGATCTGACTCATAGCAACCCCTCCTTGGGTTTCTGAAACAGCATCACTACAGAAGGAGATTGCCAAACCTTCCTTCCAAGGAGTGGCTGGTGGGTTTAAACTGCCAGCCTTCTGGTTAGCAGTCAAGTGCCTTAGGCACTATGCTACCAGAGCTCCTAGTCTTATTATAGGAAATAATTACTACCAGCTGCCCAGCCAAGTTGAGAGATATTTGCATGATCCCATCCAGTAATCTGGCGGGGGTTACAAAGACTATGGCTAGACAAGCCATACCATGCAACTCACTACACTACATATATTGACTACCACTGTCAAACACTCAGAGGGGGATCAGTGCAGAAGATCCTGGATAAAGTGGGAGAACAATATGGAACAAAACTCAATAATAATAATAATTATAAAGACAAGGTTTGCTGGTCTGAGAGAGCCTAGTGAGACCCCTAAGACTATGGCCCCTAGTTACTCTTCAGGTCTGGAACTGAACTCACTCCTGTGGCTTCCAGCCAAACAAGATAGGCATATGCGGTGAACATTTACATCAGGTAGGCACACTCCTGGGAGCAACTGCTCAATCATGGGAGAACAGAAGGGCAGTGTTTGCAAAGGGTGACAGCTGGGGAGGGAGGGGAGTGGATGGGAGGAAAGGACACAGGGAAGAAGTAACTATAGGAAGTGGGAAGTGAATTGTTACACTGTGGATAATTGAAGTCATTATCATGAAACAAAATGTGTATGAACTGCTGTATGGAAAATGAATTTGCTCTGTAAACTTTCACCCAAATGACAATATATATATTTTTTTAAATTATGATATATAACATTATATATGCATAGGAGCTCTGGTAGCACAGTGCCTAAGGCACTTGACAGCTCACCAGATGGCTGGCGGCTTAAACCCACCAGCCACTCCTTGGAAGGAAGGTTGGGCAATCTACTTCCATAGCGATAACTGCCTTGGAAACCCAAGGAGGGGTCACTATGAGCCGGGTCTGACTCAACGGCACATAACAATGCGTGTATATACATCAGCTCCCCCTAAGGCAAAACCAGGGCCCCAGAGATGAACCTTATCATATACGCAATAACTACAAAGGGGTAACAGGGATGATGATACTCACTAATGTGAACTGAAAAGGTAGGCTATGGGCAGAATCCAGGGGAGTATTCAAAAAGGTTCATTAAATTCAGCATGTGACAAAGAAAATGGACAAATACTATAGGGAAAGAAATTTTATTTTCAAGGATTTGTGCAGATAATGGTGAATAAAAACTTGTGTTTCAACTATAAAAAAGGGCTGACCTCATTCCTCCCTGACATACAGGGTTTATGATGATGTTCATTTGAATCTGAGGAATATTGCTATCCCTGTTCTTTCACCTCTAAAAGGCTCCCCCATCCTATAATTTTTAGTCAAAAATGTGTAACACATAGCAACCAAAGCAATGAATTAAACAAATTTCTGCTTATCTATTTATATAAAGTCAAGAAATTAAAATAAGCTGTGTATTTGTTTCTTGCTGCAAATTAACCTTCATCCTGTGTGCTTTCTGATATGAAAACATTTCAAAATACAACCATTTAAGGTTTAGGTCAAGATAACCCACCCAGAAGGCTGTAAAATTGGCATGAACTACAACTGTGAAACAGAGCTAGTGTAAAATATGCAGCAGCTCTAAGCTCAGTTTAGAGACATTAGCCCCATTAGAAACAAGGTCATTAAAGCTACAAAATAACAAGTGCAAAACATGCTGAACCTGTGTTTCCAGGCAGTGACTTTCCCTTGGTCAACAGGTTCCAAACTCTCACACCCACAAGGTATAACTCTACTTTCTGGTTCCACTAGTTTCCACACTCATATGAAAGTTCCTCAGAAATGACCATGGAAAACAAATTGAAATTTACCCTGTGGACCAATTCCTGAAGAGGTAACAGCCGCGACTCTGACATGAGTGGACATGTAGTGTTTACTTGATGACCTTCTACTACTTCTAGAAACCTTCAAAGCACTAAATTGCCTCTTTCAGAACCTAAACTTCCTAGCAGCTTTTCTTCTGGAGTAGGCAGACAGACAGAATTCACTGCCATATAGGGGTCAACCTCAGCTAACTCATCCATTGAGAATCATGGGATAAATTCCTATGTTTTTACCTTTGTGGGCAATTTAACTGGTAGACTTATGTCTATGCTTCTTTTTACAATAATTACGTTTTTAAGCCTACTCCCTCTTTTTTTAATAGAGAACTCCTAGGCTTCATAAATATAACGGTTGATCCTTTTACAGATATGAGTAGGAAAGAATGGTGTGGCCTTCCCTTCAAATGTTGGGTCATCTAAAATGATTTGCCTCAAGAGTTACCACGCCCCATGAAAAAGCCCATCAATCTCAACTACAAACCTGTTTTCCATTACTTCAGAAAACATGCAAACGTCCTCATTTATTCATGTACTGTTATGATCTGTCCAAACATGCCTCTGAATAACAGTAGCCTCTCTCACCCACTCAATTTCTCTAGTTCTTATAGTCAACAGAACTTCCAAGGAACGGCTAGAGTACTATAATATGACAAAAATGAAGAGTTTGAGAGGAAAAATAAGGAATCAACTAAAAATCGCCATAACAATCCACATATAACCAAAGAAAAAGTTTGCATCTTAGATAACATGACTAAACATCCATCTAACATAATAAATTCTTATACTGGATGAATTTACCAGTATATGAATATACTAGATTTGTCTCTTCTACCCTAATTGCAAATATATTAAACAATTATTTCTTCCATAGCTTTTCTTTCCCCTACTTAGAGGCATTTAAAACTGCTTAAGTAACAGTATTTAGCACTAAGTAATTTAGAAAATATAAAAAGGCTTTAGGAAAATAGCAAAAGTTGATTCATTCTCCACATACCATTTGATTGGGTAAAGTTTCTATTTGAGAAAATACTGGTGAACAGGAAAAAATTTCTTGTTTAAGTCACTATTTTCTGGTCTCATCACAGACAGATTATAATTTTTTTGAACCTTATGTAGGTCCAGATTCTCTTGGCACCTCCCAAGCTACCAGCACACAGCATAGCATTTATCTGTTCTGTTTTTGCAATGAGGGCTGTATCTCTCTCTTATGTTCCCCAGATGGATGTATGAAAGATAAAATTTCCAAAGCCAAACAATTTCTTGGCATTGCACTAGGCCTCCTCTAAGTTCCCAATTTGCCAAATCCAAATCAAAGAGGAAAAAACTCAAGTCTTGAATATTATCTCCTTCCAAGAGGTCTGAACACAGCCTATGTCCTTCCCTACTGAGTCTTGGCTTGAAAAGATCCTGATGAGGGGCTGAAGAACAAAACAGGTGATGGGTTTTTAAGCAGGAGGTATGTAATCGTATCTTGCAATTTATCTAGACATCTTATGCTCTCTGCCAAGGACTGATTTACACAGAAATCAAAGGAAATGGCTTTCTGGAGTCCCCTGAAGCATAAACAATGTTTGTGACCATGAAGAGTCTCCCCACATGTGGTAGGGGAGGATGCTGTGGTGTCACCCTGGGGACTTTGATGATTTTAGCTGAACTCTGCTATGCTGGGCCCAGGCCCTTGACAGGTTCTTCACCCCCATCCCCTTGGTTGGCAGCTGATGAGTTGGATGCTTTGGAATTCATTTTATAAACAGGACATAAAAGGCCATTACAATGCAGGCGATTGCCACTGCAGCGTGCAGCCTGGTTCCGATCACAGCAGCTAGGAAGCAAAAGTAGAAACAGAAAAGAAATCACACTCTGCCCTTTATAACACTCCTCATCTTTTTAAATCTCAAGTCACAGATGAAGAGCCTTATCACCGATAAAAAGTCTCGAGGGCTCAGGAATGTACTTAAAAACTACTAGGTTCTAGGTGAATATACTTATATTTTGTCCAATTTTGAAAAAAATTTAGGTAGGTAGGACTGCAGATGAAGGTACCCAAAATGAAAAGCAAAAAAGCAGCTGAGTTAACTAAATCAAAACTGTAAAAAGATTCCAATGTATTCTTTCCAGGAAATCAAAAACTTTTCATTGGGAAAATACTCCTCCCACCAAATTCCAGCCCAGGGTAAAATTATTTAACTTACATACTTTTACTTCATGGAGAATACTAAAATTACCTAGACACTAAAATAAACAATTATGTTTTAAAAATGATAGCAAATGTTAACACTTACCTTTCCCCTCAACACTAGAAAATGATTTATTTTAGTTTTATAGACTCTCAGGCTCAATCTCAGGGATCTTCTTTAAAAGCTGAACCAAACACAGTACTAGTCCATCCTTGTCCCCCACTTCGTAACACTTCACTGTCCAGAGCTGGAAATCTCCTTTCCCTGTGGAGACATGAACTTACCTTTGTAAAAAACACCCCAAACTCCCTTCTTCTCTGACAGCAGCCAGGATTTGAGACGAGGTACTTTCTTGAAGTAGGCACAGGTACAAACAAAGAGCAAACCAAACACCAGAATCCCATCCAAGGAGTATACTGTTATAGAAAGAAGAAAATAAAACCTCTGGTATTGATCTAGCCTGGGACAGGTGATTGCACCTGAGAACTCTGAGGAGGACAGAGTGATGTAACATCAAGATGGTAACCTCAACTAGCAGTGCCAACCCTTGATAAGAGGGAGCCAAGGTTCTGGCACTAACAAGGCTACCTTATTGTTCTCCAAAACTGCCTGTTGACATCTGCCTTACGTCAATTTCAGTGCTCCCTTCCTTTCTCTTTCAAGAACTACAAATTCTGGTAGTTTCTGTGGAATCAGCTTGCCAAGAGTGGCTAATGTTGGCCGTAGGTTGAGAGAGCTACAAGAATCTTTGCAGGCTGAGCAGGGAGAATTAAACATGTTCTTATTATAAATCACTTAAGTAATTTTTTAAAATGTAGAGCTAGATATTTAGCCAAGTTTGTCAGATCTGCATCTGTTGGTGAAGAACGTGTTCAGGCAATAAGTAAAGTTTAACAAAAATGGCAAAGCCTAGGATCCATATGACTACAATTTTCCTATATTCTTACACTTCATGTACCATACTCTACTGACAAACCAAACTTTCTGTCACAATCATACAGATTCCTGTAAAAGAGAAGGGAAAAAAAAAAAGATCTGGAAACTTTGACATAGGGGAGATATTTGAACTCTTAGTTCTATTTTTTATATATATAAACTGAGCTATTTCTTATATATGGAAGATGCAAGCATACAATGTCCCCCCACTACACACACCAAAAAAAAAAAAAAAAGAGGAGGAGGTACTAATATTTCTTCAGCAATTACCACGCGTCAGACTATTCTCTTATTTACTGGTTCAGATTATTTCTTCCTCTGGTCATGTCTTTTATTTTACTGTGCCTAATATCCTCAAATCTCTAACTGCTCAGGAAGCTCCCACAGAATATTTTATAGAACCAGTATCAGCCAGTTCGGGACCACTCTACCTCCCTTTAGTAAAATATCCCACAGCTAGATGTCACAGAAGAAAGCGTCTAGTAAGTTAAAGGATACATTAAGTTGTTTATTATCATTGATACCTTTATGTGCTCCTCTTTTTCTCCCATAAGTTTTTGCAGGCAATGCCACAGTTCACAAGGAGGTGAAACTTGAGTCCTTAGTGCCTGGCCCATAGAGAAGGTATTTTTGAAGGAGAAACGCTTTCCTATGCCCTCTTCTTTTTTTCTTTCCTGAAAGGCTGACTCTAAATTAAAGACCATAAATGCTCTGCTTCCTGTCCTTCTCTGGAATTTGGAAATCATGTCTATAAAGTGTTTGAAGTGGCCTGGTAAATTAGATCAGATAAACAGGGTGGCAACTGCCAAACCGTTTACAATAGGCAGTGTCTAAATACAATCCCTGCAACAATACGCAGAGTCTCTAGATGGGACCACCTGCAGTATTATAGAAACAAACAAAAAACTTCACTGTATTTTTTCCAAAAGGAGAGCTCCTTTTAGGATTTACATTCATCCCCTAAAAATGCCGAACTTGAGATCCTCTGTGACTTGTAGGTGCTCGCAACAACTAGACTGTCCGAAAGTCTGAGAACGCAGGTAGTGGGGGGGGAGCATACTCTTTTCCCAGGGGTTAACGCAGTAGTTGTACAGAGATTGGCCTCCCCAAGAGGCTCCTACGGGCCAAACCCAACTTCTAGAAAGGGAAGGAGGAGCTCTGGTAGCGCAGTGCTGAAGGCACTTGACTCTTAATGAGAAGGCTAGCGGTTCAAACCCACCAGCCACACTCCTCGGAAGGAAGGCTGGGTAATCTACTTCCGTAGTAATGTTGTTGTTGTTGTTATGTGCCGTCGAGTCGGGAAACCAAGGAGGGGTCGCTAAGAGTCGGGTCCGACTCGACGGCACATAACAACAACAACAATAACAGAAAGGGAAGGAGAATGGAAAGTACTGGATCGGGATCGACGACTCGGGGTGTGGGCACAAAAGGCACTGAGAGTGCTACATGAGCTCTACACCTGGGTACCCTCGGCAGAGCAAAGGCAGCAAGAATTAGGATCGCCGAGAAGCCACTGGGGGGGTTGGGCCGGGAGGGGGCGGGGAGACCCGACACGTCAGACCCGGCCTCGCCCGCCACGTTTCACCTCGTCCCTCACTCCAACTCTCCGCGCTGGACACTGGCTCTCACCGTTCGTCATGGCGGCTGGGCCAAGGCCTGTTAGGGGTCCTGGAGTCAGCGGTGTGAAGGCGATAGAAGCCGGCTCCCGACTGACACTTCCCGATCCGGGCCGCGACGACGGGCAGAAGCCGTAGTACGCACGCGCAAGGGCCGAGAGACGAACGCCGAAAGCAATCAGGAGTGGCTAGCCGATTGCCGAGCTAGGGTCCTTGTGCAGGTGGTCCGCTTGCGTGCTACATGGAGCGTGGTCTGGGAGGTGTGTTACATGACCGCAATAGGTTGATGGGTTTTTTGAGTGCCCGTGAATAACCAAAATTTTACTTGAGTGTAATTCAATGATATTGTTTGATGATTTCCGCATTCTGTTGGATCACCTTTCGTTGGGATGGACACAAATATCATTTCTTCCAGTCTGTTGGCCTGGTACCTGTCTTCCAAATTTCTTGGCATAAACCTGCGAGCACCTCAGCACTGCATGCGTGTGTTGAAACATCTCAATGGGTATTGCGTAAATTCACGGAGCCTTGTTTTTGGCCAGTTCCTTCAGTACAGATTGGATTTCTTCCTTGAATACTATCAGTTCTTGATCATATGCTACCTCCTGAAATAGTTGAATGTCTACCAATTCTTTTTGATACAGTGATTATGTGTTCATTCCATCTTCTGTTGATACCTCCTGCATCATTCAGTATTTTGCCCAGATAGTCAATATTGCAACTCAAGGCCTGGATTTATTCTTTAGTTCTTTGAGCTTGAGAAATGACACATGGGTTCTTCCTTTTGTTTTTCCAACTCTAGGTCTTTGTGTATTTCATTATAATACTTCACTTTGTCTTCTCAAGCTACTCTTTGAAGTCTTCTGTTCAGCTCACTTCTTTCATCATTTCTGCCATTCACTTTAACTACTCTACATTCAAGAGCAAGTTTCAGAGTCTCTTCTGACATCCATTTTGGTCTTTTCTTCCTTTCCTGTTTTTTTAATGACATTTTGCTTTCTTGGTGTCCTTGATGTTATCCCAAAACCCATCTGGTCTTCAGGAACTAGTGTTCAGTGCATCAAATCAATTCTCCAGATGGGCTTTAAATTCAGGTGGGATATACTCAAGGTCATATTTTATCTCTCATGGACTTGTTTTGATTTTTTCCTCTTCATCTTAAACTTGCATATGAGCAATTTATGGTGTGTTCCACAGTCAGCCCCAGCCTTGTTCTGGCTGATGATACTAAGCTTCCCCATTATCTCTTTTCACAGATGTAGTCTATTTGATTCCTGTGTATTCCACCTGGTGAGGTCCACGTGTATGGTTGCCATTTATGTTGTTGAAAAAAGATATTTGCAATGAATGAGTTGTTGGTCTTGAAAAATTCTGTCATGAGATCTCTGGCATCATTTTTTTCACCACGGACATTTGCTGATGCTTCTTTTTCATTTCCAACTTCCGTATTCCAATCACCAGTAATTATCAATACATTTTGAATACATGTTTGGTCGATTTCAGACTGCAAAAGTGTGTAAAAATCTTCAATTTCTTCATCTTTGGCTTTAGTTGTTGGTGTGCAGATTTGAATAATAGTCATATTAACTGATTTTCCTTTTAGGCATATGGATTTTTTTATTTTATTTTATTGTGATTTGGGTGAAAGTTTACAGAGCAAATTCATTTTCCATACTGCAGTTCATACACATTTTGTTTCATGATGTTGACTATAGTTCCCACACTGTAACAGCTCTCTTCCCACTTCTACCCTGTTACCTCTTCCCTGTTTCCTTCTTTCCTATACATTCCTGCCCCTGAGCTATCTCCCTGTGTAAATACGGCCTTTCTGTTTTCCCATGATTGATCATTCTAAGGAATGTACCTACCTGGTATAAATGTTCACCCTATTGTTTGGCTGAAAGCCATGGAAATGAGTTCAGTTCCAGGCCTGAAGAGTAACTAGGGGCCATAGTCTCAGGGGTTTCACCAGGCTCTATTAGATCAGTAATCCTGGTCTAATAGGTTGATTATAAGTTTTGTTGCACGTTGTTCTCCCACTCTATGCAGGATCTTCTGCTCTGATCCCTTTCCAAGTTGTTGATAGTAATAGCTGGGCACCATCTATTTCTTCTGGTCTCATGGTCATATAGGCTGAGGTTTACATGGTCTACAAGTCCCTTGGACTAATTTTTTCCATGCATGTTTGTTTTTTCTTCATTCTTCTTTGATCCAGACAAGGAGAGACCAATTGTTGCATCTAGATGGCTGCTTGCAAACTTTGAAGACCATAGTCACTACTCTGGGCCTATGGATATTATCCTATCACTGACAGCATTGTACTTCAGGACAGATCTTGAAAGGTTCTTTTTGACAATGAATGCAACACCATTCCTCTTCAAGTTGTCATTCCCAGCATAGCAGACCATATGATTGTCTGACTCAAAATGGCCAGTACCAGCCCATTTCAGCTCAGTAATGCCTAGGATAATGCTCTTTCATTTTTTACAACTTCCAGTTTTCCTAGATTCATACTCTGTACATGCCCCTTTCCAATTATTAATGAATCCTTGCAGCCTTTTCTTCTTATTTTGAGTCATGCCACATCCGCAAATGATGGTCCAGAAAGATTTTCTCCATCCATGTCATTAAGGTCAACTCTACTTTGAAGAGGCAGCTCTTCCCCTGTTGTATATTGAGCGCATTTTACCTGAGGGGGTCATATTTGTCACTGTATCAGATGATGTTTCCTTTCTATTCATAAGGTTTTCAGTGGCCAATTTTTTCAGAAATGTCCTTCTTCCTAGTGTGTCTTAGTCTGGAAGCTCTGCTGAAACCTGTCTACCTTGAGTGACCCTGCTGATACTTGAAATACTGGTGGCATAGCTTCCAGCATCATTTGTTGTTGTTATGTGCCATCAAGTCAGACCCAACTCATAGCAACCCCTCCTTGGGTTGCCGAGATGGTATCACTACGGAAGTAGATTGCCTAACCTTCCTTCCGAGGAGTGGCTGGTGGGTTTGAACCACCAGCCTTTTGGTTAGCAGTCAAGTGCCTTAGGCACTGTGCTCCCAGAGCTCCTTAGCAACACACAAATTACCACAGTACAAGAAATTGACCGAAATTCAAGCTGGATTCAGAAGAGTGTGTGGACTAAGAGATATCATTGCTGATGTCAGATGGATCATGGCTGAAAGCAAAAAGTACCAAAATGATGTTTACCTGCATTTTATTGACTATGCAAAGGCATTTGACTATGTGGATCATGAATTATAGACAACATTGTGAAAAATGGGAATTCCAGATGACTTAATTCTGCTCAGAGGAACCTGTAAATAGTCCAAGAAGCAGTCATTTGAACAGAAAAAGGGGATACTGCCTCATTGACAGTCAGGAAAGGTGTGCATCAGGGTTGTATTCTTCCATCCACTTATTCAATCTGTATGCTGAGCAAATAACCTGAGAAGTTGGACTGTATGAAGAATGCAGCATCAGGATTGGAGGAAGACTCATTAACAATCTGTGATATGCAGATGACACAACTTTCCTTGCTGAAAGTGAAGAAGACTTGAAGCACTTACTGATGAAGATCAAAGACTATAGTCTTCAGTATGTATTACACCTCAACATAACGATAACAAAAATCCCCACAGCTGGACCAATAAGCCAAAACCAAAACTAAACTCACTGCCATTGAGTTAGTCCTGACTCACAGCGACCCCTCCTTGGGTTTCCAAGGTGTTATCACTACAGGGAGGGAAACAGGCCCCACATCAAGAGGCAGGCAGGAAGCAGGGGAGGGGGGCCAGAGAGACAGAGCCATGGGGTCCAAGTAAGGGGAGGGCGGAGAGGTTTCAGACAGCTAAGGAAGACAAACTTGTCTGTCAGTTTGTCCTACTGTGGTGGCTTGCATGTTGCTATGAGGCTTGAAGCTGTGCTACCAGTGTCTCTAATGCCAGCAAGGTTGCACATGGTGCACAAGTTTCAACGCAGCTTACAGACTGAGACAGACTAGAAAGAAGGGAGAAGCCATCCACTTCTCAAAGAATTGGCCAGGGGAAACCTTATGAATAGCAGGGAACATTGTCTGATACATCACTGGGCAACTTTATGAATAGCACTGAAACATTATCTGATATAGCGCAGGAAGACGAGCTCCTTAGGATGGAAGGCACTCACAATACAACTGGGAAAGAGCTGCAACATCAGAGTAGAACGAACCTTAATGATAAGGATAAAGTAAAGCTTTTGGGACCTCCATTTGCTGATGTGGCGTGACTCAAATTGAGGAGAAACAGCTGCAAACATTCATTAATAATGGGAATATGGAATATATAAAGTATGAATCTAGGAAGATTGGAAGTTGTCAAAAATGAAATGGAATGCATAGAGATTGATATCCTAGGTATTAGTGAGCTGAAATGGACCAGTTTTGGCCATTTTGAATCAGACAACCATTTGATCTCCTATGCCGAGAATGACAATTTGAAGAGGAATGGTGTGGTATTCATCATTACAAAGGATGTTTCAAGATCTGTCCTGAAGTACAATGCTGTCAGTGATAGGATAATACTCATACTCTTATAAGGAAGACCAGTTAATACTATGATTATTCAAATTTATGCACCAACCACCAAAGCCAAAGATGAAGAAATTTTAGAATTTTATCAACTTCTGCAGTCTGAAACTGACCGAACATGCAAAGCATAGAATACCAGAACGATGTTTACTTGTGTTTTATTGACTATGCAAGATGTGTTAGTTATCACTGGAGATTGGAATGCAAAAGTTGGAAACAAAGAAGGATCACTGGTAGCTGGAAAATTTGGCCTTGATGACAGAAATAATGCTGGAGATCGCATGATAGAATTTTGCAAGACCAACAACTTATTCATTGCAAATATCTTTTTTCAACAACACAAATGGTGGATATGCATGAGGACTTCACCAGATGGAGTACACAGGAATCAGATTGACTATATCTGTGGCAAGAGGCGATGGAAAAGCTCAGTATCTTTAGCCAAAACAAGGCCAGGAGCTGATTGTGGAACAGACTATCAACTGCTCATATGCAAGTTCA